CTGCAGTACCAACAGAGTATCAACAGAGGCTTCATGAAAACCTTGCTCTCTCATCTCTGGATGCTGATCAGCACTGGTCAGACTTGCAAGACGTCATGCTGTCAGCAGGTTTATCCAGTTGCAGCTTCGTTCGCTGCACTGCTGAAAGATGGATCTCAGCAACTTCCTCGGAACTTCTAGATTTCGACGCTCCGTGCCCACTGACGCTGTACACCATAAAGTCCTCGGTCTATTACTCTACAACTGAAAGCAAGCCTTCCCGCTGCCCGTGAATCCTGGTGGTCTAGGCGTGCTGCTGAGATGTAGGCCGCTACATCGGTTTGAAACTACCGCAGTTTTTTCGCCTCATCAAGGCTACCATTTGCAACTCACACGCGATCAGCCAGACAATCTGTGGTAGTACTGATGAGTAGTGAGGATTTTGGTATAATTCAGCTAATTCATCATCTTCACTCCCAATCAGCAGGCTTAGGCTAGTCTGGAAAAGCATCAGACACCGGTGTTTCGACGTTCTGGGTCTCGTCAGTGATGTGCCTCTCAGCGTACCCCTGCCGGGTTCCGCCCCCATGACTTCAGGATGCCATCTGCTAGTGCCACTTCGCCAAGCGTGACACCGGCGGACCTGCCTGATTGACAGTTGACTGTGATATAGCCCGGCTCATCTTCCACTGCCATGCCAGTTACGAACTGTGCAGCGGACAATGACAAGCCTCACAAGCTAGGTCGTTCCGCATAGCACCTATGTACCACAAAGAACTTAGAAGCTATACGGACAGCTTTTATAGTAGTGAGTGAGCAGTGAGAATTTTGGTATAATTCAGCTAATTCATCTGGTGCTTTTCCAGACTAGCCTAAGCCTGCTGATTTGGAGTGACGATGATAAATTAGCTGAATCTGTGGTAGACTGCACAAAAATCACCAACCTGCAGAAGTTATTGGAGCGTTGAACGGAGCACTTTGCTTTTCAGTTTAAGTACCCAGCACATCCCACTGTAACCATCTCCATCGGATGATGCTTTGAAACAGCAAAACGTACTCAGTCCTGACAGTCTTTCTCCTGCTCTTTTCAAGGATGGCAGGGAGGTATTTGTCGACGAATTGCTCACGCTTTTCCAAAATTTAGACTGATGAGAAAGTCCCCAATTCATGGGGAGACTCAATCGTTGTCCTTCTTCACAAGAATGGCCCACGCGAGGATTGCGCTAATTACCGCGGAATCTCCCTGAGCTCAGTTGCTTCCACGATTTCTTGTGTCTGTCTTACTTCGCGGGCTTTCCGCCACTGGAGAGTTTTTACCGAAAAGAACAAGCTGGTTTTCCCCATGCTGAAGTTGCATTGATCAAATCTTCACGCTCCGACAAGTTCTCTAGCTCTACCGCGCCCACGGTCGGCCAACACTGGTAGTGTTCCTGGACATCCGCGCGGCATTCGATTAAGTAGACGGTGTTGCCTTGTAGGATTATCTACTAAGGAAGGGTGTGTCCGACAAGTTTGTTGCCTATCTGAGGGAACTGTGCAGTCACAAGTCGGGTGAAATTAGGGCTTGCGGCAGACTTTCCTCTTTGTTTGCTGTCACCAGCGGCGTTCGCCAAGGTTGCCCTATTTCGCCTTTCCTCTTCAATTTTGCCATCGAAGATTTTATGCAACGAGCTCTGGAAGGTGTCCCGAATTGCGGTGTTGTGCTTCTCCCTGGCTCCATAATCACAGACATGGACTAGGCCGATGATATCGCTTTGCTGAGTGACGATCTGCAAACCGTCCAAAACACCTTGAATCGCTTAGCAATTGAGGCATCCAATTACGGCTTTTATTTCACCCCAGCCAAATGTTAGGGACTATTTCAGGATTGGCAAGAGCCTGCGTCCGCGCTCAGCATTGCTGGTGACATTCTGTAACTGGTGGATTGCTTCACTTATCTAGCGAGTTACATCACGGCTGGTGTCGGTGTTGTCGAGGAGATTTCACAGCGCACTACAAAAGCCCGCCTTCCTTTCATCAAACTGAGACACCTATGGCGTCGTCTTGACGTCATTCTCAAGCTCAAGGGCAGGGTGTAAAATGCTTCCGTCCGTGCGGTCCTGCTGTACGGCTGTGAGATCTGGCTTGTTCGCTCGGAAGACATGAGATGACTTTCATTTTTTGGCTATTGTTGTCTGCAAAGGATCGCTCGTGTGTGGTGGCAACATCACATAGGCTATACGGAGATTCGTGAACGAGTGCTTAGAGCGAGCAGCCCCAGCCTACGAAACGTTGTTCTGCGTCACCGCATGCGTTGGTTCGGCCACATACTGCGGAAGCCAGCTGTCGCCTTCCCCGGTGAACCTTCTTTGCGCTTCCCGGAAGTGATTCGATAAAGTGTCTCGGTGTCCAACCAATGATGTGAAAAGGTAGCATGAAGAAAGTAGTCTGAGGCTTAGCTTCAGTCGGATAAACGCGCCTCCCAGGTTGGAGACCAGGTGACTCGGAATTCCTGTGATTGCAAACGCTGGATGTGATGGCACGTAATAGACATCAGTGGCGCCAGTGTTATGGTGTCGTTTTATTTGTTACTTATAACAGCTGCATATTTATATTTATATACGAAAAGGGAACAGAAATACTCAAAACAGCATGTTTGAAACCCAGAAAAGGAAATATCTTTTTGTGTTCTCTCGTACACTTTTTGTCTTCCCTTTTGCCATACTTCTGATTGCACATTGTCTGTATACAGATGCTGAGGTCCGAAGCGCAATCGCAACCCTTAATCATTTTCATGCTGTTATCCCGGATTTGCTCACACCCGCACTATTTATGAATGGTGGGGAGGTACTCTGCAAAGCGCTGACCTCTGTTCGAGCAGGTCTGGAAGGCAGAGACCATCCCAGCTAACTGGAGTGAGTCGATTATACTAGCAATATACAAGGGCAGTCGCACCGACTGCTAACCGCATGGGTATTAGCCTAACACCAATTGTGACAAACCTCCATCCTCGTTCGCCGTCCCGCTGCGGAGCGAGAATCACAAATTAGAGAAGAGTAGGTCTACTTCCGTCCAGGACGGGGATATATAGACCACATATTCACACTGCGGCAGGTGCTAGAGCAGCGCCACACGTACCGCAGGCCGACCATAAGTGTGTTCCTGGACTACATGGGTGCGTTTGACGCAGTCGATCGATGCATTGTGTTTGAAATACTTGCGCAGAAAGGTGTTCCTTTGAAATATGTGAACATTTTACGTGTTCTATGATCGAACACAACAGGCCGTATCATCGTCTACGGTGACCTGTCGTATGCCTTTTCTACAGGTAATGGTGTTCGCCAGCGTTTCTGATTTCCCCATTTTTGCGCCCCCCCATTTGCGCCTTCAAAGTGCTGTTACAGGACCACTAGCTACTTAACGACCCGTTGACCCTTGATGCCGAGGTAGTTGATCACTTCACTTACCTTGGCAGTTGTATCAGCAACGATGGGCGCATAGCAACCTAAATCAGGTCACGCATTGCAAACCTAGAACAACCTTATTGAATTTGCGAGAGCTGTGGCTTCAGAAAGGGGTTTCCTTCCGTCTAAAAATCTGCATATACAAGGCCACAGTGAGGGCCGTCCTACTCTATGGAAGCGAAACTTTGGACCCTCCTATCTGAGACGCCTTCCAGTCTTTGTTCATCATTGTCTGCAAAGCATTGCTGGTGTCGGATGGCACCAGCGTGGCTGCAACGATGATGTGTGCATGTGAGTACTAGGCGATGATAACCAGGCTATTTCTTTAGAACAGCAGATAGCACTTAGTAAGTTCGTTTGGGCACGTATTACGTATGCCCAATCACGGCTTACCAAGTAAGGTTTTGTTTCGTTTGCCACATGTATGCTGACATAAGGCTCGAGGTGGGCAAATGTTAATTTGGCAGCGGGAAATGAAGTCACTGACGAGCCTAATCGGCGCCGTCGGTGCGTCTCGTCTTCCGGGCTGGATCCATTTGACCCACCCTGTGCTTGGCTCGAGACGTTACGGTATATGGCTCGCAGTCTACACCATTGCCGTGTCTGCTGTCGTCTAGTCGGATTGCCTGTTTAATGTATCTTTGATGCTGATTTTTCTGTGGGGTAATGGCTGATTATGATTGGGGGCAGTGAAAACCGCAAGAAACCGGTCTCGCCGATGCCGCCTTAGCTTTTCACCATAGCCAGCTGTTTTTGTTGGTATGTTGTTGACAAGATCTAGGCGCATTGGCCCCGAGTGTTTGTTTAGGGCATTATGGCTTTACCGCAGTTCCCCCTTATATCCTTGTTAGTATCCTTCATTCCGTAGGTCACCGTAGTTTTACGGCAGCGAAGCATCAGATCGAATGGCTGATGTAATACTATTCATGATGATGCTGCAAGCGGGCTGACCGTAAAGCCACTAAGGACTGAACAAATGAGCAACCAATCAGATGCATCGGCGGAAATGGTGGTAATGGTATTAGCTTCATTGTGTGACTGCAATCCGAAAGTAAAACATGTGACTCTAAATAAGCAATGAGTATAGCGAAACGACAGATTAACACAAAGGTCAGGTTGCTACTACAGCAACTCGAAAGTCTGCAGTCATGAACGAGCACACAAGTTTACTTGCATTTTCATTGCTTATGTGACACTTCCTTTTCAGTTTATGATTTATTGAGCGTTTTTATCGACAGTGCTGAGTCGCATTCTTACTTGTACAGACGATTTCGGTGATACATCGGGAACAAACCTCTTTCGGACGACTTGATTTGCACGAAATGATATTGCCTTTCGCTGTGTTCGATTAACTTCTTTTATACTAGATGATTTCCTTCACTGAACATTAACCAATCCCGTTGATTAAATTATCTCGTTCATTCTGAGACGTTTCACAGTGCTGTTTGTATTTTCGGATGGAGTCTGATCAACATTCTTGTCCAATCTAATATCGTTATGATATCGTCCTATGAGTTAGAACAATACTACATACCGCAGTTGCTTTATCCATGTCATGTGTGAACTGTTGCTCTGCAGAACGCATTGCGATTCACCTTGGAGAACCGAACCTTACATTTATCCATGGCAGTCCCGAGGGATGAAGCCGCGAAACTCCGCACTTTCAAACATGACGATCTCTCTTCAGAGGATGCGTCTCATGGGAAGCCGCTTTCCATGGCTGAACGATTACGCCGCGGAGGACGCAACTTACACTTGGCCTCAATAGGAAGTGAGTATTCTTAACTGGGTTGCACTCGCCATTGATTCACTCAACTTAGGTCAAAAATTAGACTACATTGGTTCATGTTTCTTTATTACAACTGTCCGGGAGGAAGTAAAGTCTCGCAGGAAAACTCATTGTTTCAATGAGAAAGCGATTTGAACCCATGTTACACATCTGCAGCATCAAGTCGACTGAAAAACATTCGAGTCCCTCAAGTGACGTTTACACTCACCGGTGCCAAACCGAACTCCTAATTCTAGCGACTGAACTAGCTGTACCGAAACGTGAACATTCTTAGGTTGACCTATCTATCTCTGCTCTCTGCAGCACAGTAAAGTGCAAGTCAGTGGATAGTGAGCGGCGCCATATCACGTCTAGTGACTTACTATCGTGGTTCGTTACCGTCCCCCGTAGCTCAATACTCCAACTACAGACTGGAAATAGTCAAGTTGCGGGTTAGAGCCCCGCAAGGGTCAGATGGAATGCGTACTGCTGGCGATTCCCGAAATGGGAAAGATGTCATACAGCTATTTTCCTAGCGTGTAATGGCTGACTGAGTCTAGGTGTGATAAATTTCAGCTTATACCATTCAAATCCCAATATTACTCCCATAGGAGTCCATTGGTTTTCACACTAAATGTACCCGTTTCTGTGTCTGGTTCTGCAACGCGCTCCCATATCAAGTTTGCGCCTCCTGCTTTCTGCTGCGTTCGGAACTTACACAGAACGTACTCAGTTCAGCAGGGATCTCACAAAAGCGGAAACTCTGACACTACCAAATCGTGCAATTGAGCGAAAATGGGGAAAATCAGGTGTTCAACAACTAAGAGCTGCTTATCGGTTTGCCTCACAAATTGTTCTCAGTGATCACTATCCTAATTCCTCGAGTTACATGCACTCGTCTGACCGGAGCACTACCTATTACTTCGTGTACCCTTCAGCTCACCTACTGTCATCTTCAAATAAGACTCACATTGATGCTATCTAGATGAACAACACACAGCATTCAAAGGCCTTACGCTCCGAAATTAAACACAGCATTCTCCACCTACTCTGATGGATCAACGGAGTCAACTTGTGCCCATCAACTTAACTTGTTGGGAACCTCACTGTTTTTCCCTCACTACCTCTCGTCTAGCCTATTCATTGCCCTTCAGGTAGTGGTGCGTAATGTGTGAGATGCTGTCGTTCCGAAACCATCGTTCTCACAGCTCCGCTTGAAGGATCCGTTTCCTCCTTACATTCTGAAGCTGATGGTATGCTGTGTATGGTTGTTTGAATGAGAGCACTAGCTCCCTACTTGGTCTTGCATCTCATTTGCCGGTTTTGACTTATGACAATATCCACACTTCAACGGCGGTAAAAGGGATGGTCTTTCCCGATATTGATTACTTGTTGCATCATTTCTAGTGGGTTGGTGACGTTTGTATCATCTGTCATAGGTTCAGTTCAGTACATTTAAGCAACTGATCTGGGAGCATGAGCCTGGACTCCGACCATTCACCTGTTTGCGCCGACCTCCGTGTGCGTTTCAGTGAACGTCCACAACAGCGCTATAAACGCGTGGATATGTTCCAGCTATCGACGCTAGATGTTCTGAATACATATCAGAGTAGGCTGGCTTTTGAGCTGAATAAACGCCCATAGAACACTATTGAAGATCACTGGTCGCCTATAGCCTAGACGTTATTAGTAACTGGGTTGTCTTCTGGACGTTGGGTCTCTACATACTTTCTGTAACTTACGGATGCTGGTCGACGTGTGCCTGCTGGATGCGAATACATTGAGACTCGCAAGGCTCTTAGGGCCTGAAGAGAGACCGCGAACCCTGTTGCCTCTCATCATGCAAAAGAATTGGAGACAGCCGCTGCTCTTAGTAACCATCGGAAGTTCTTCCGTTTGATACGAGAAACAAGCAGCAGGAGACCTGGTGTTAACGAGACCATATGCGATGATAGTGGGCAGCCGATACACACGCTTGTCAAAGTGCTTGGAGCGTTGGGCCGAACACTTTGAGAAGCAGTTTAATCAATCAGAGTTGCCAGTTTCTCCATCGACTAGTGAGCGCCCTACTCTGGGCCGCCCCCTTGGATACGCCCTCGTGCGCATAAATCGTGCGTGAAATCAGATGGCTGAAATTGTACAAGGCCGCCAGAGCAGCTGGACTTCATCCAGTCCTCTTCAAATTTGGGAGACCTGCTCTTTTTAACGATTTACTTCACTTACTAGTGCACCTATGGGAGCAGCAGACTGTCCTGACAGACTGGAGGTGTTCCGTAATGGTTCCGATTTTCATGGGAATCTCCCGTTCCGAATGCTACAGTCATAGAGAAATCAGTCTTATATCCATTGCCTCTAAGTTGCTTGCGTGTCATTCTCCGCAGACTGACTGGTACTCGTGAAAGCCAAATGCTCGAGGTTTCGCCGACATCGAGGCTGCACTGACCACATCTTCACATTACGTCAGTTGTTGGAGCACCGCCTTGTTTGTTGGCCACCCACCGTAGTCGTGTTCATAGACATCAAAGAGGTCTTTCATTCGGCTGATCGGGGTACTCTTTTGGACTGTCTACTCAGGAAAGGTGTCTGAGAAATATGTTTTCCGCGCGCTATACACGCGTAGCTCGGACAGAGTGAAGGTTTACTGTGAGCTGTTGCCACCTTACACTATCACCAGCGGTGTGAGACATGGTTGCTCGCGGTCACCTTTCCTTTCTAACTTCTTCATTGACCAAGTCATGGAAACGACATTCGCTATGCACGTAGTTGTGGAGTTACTTCATGGTGAACGAGTTCTTGACTTAGACTATGCCGGCAACATTGCGTTCTTGTGTGACAGCCCCCGAACATGCCAAACTGCACTGGACAGATTAGCACTGGCTGTCAGTCGTTTCGGGCTATGCTTTGCATTATCGAAATGCCAAGTTCTTCTCCAAGATTCGCATAGACCCACTCCTACACTGACCCTTAGCGGTGATAATTTAGAAGTCGTGGAGGAGTTCAAGTATCTGAGCAGCTATATCAGGGCCATTAGAACGGAAGATGAGATCACGAACAGTATAACAAAAGCTCGATTTGCTCTTGCTAATCTCCATCATCTGTGACGCCAGTGTGACATTACTCTCGCTCTGAAGAGCAGAGTTTACGATGCAGCTGTCGTTACAACCCTCTTGTACGGTTGCGAAACTTGACCCATAAACCCGACAGACATAAAGAGCCTAGCTAAGCTTGACCATCGCTGCCTTCGCAGCTTAGCTCATGTCTGCTGATGGCACTGCGTGAGCAATGAATGTGTTCGGCGTCGCGTATTTGATGCAGGAAGAGCGAGGGAACTGCTCAGCACCGTCATATCACACACCAGACTCCGATGGCTGGGCCACGTGTTGCGTATCCTGCGACTTGCGTTGTTTGCCCGCCGGGGATGTAGATGGCCGAAGAGGAGGGTAGGTCAAGAGATGACTTAGTCGAGTGGATTGAAATCCCTGATGTCGAAGTTGGTGTCGGTTGGTGTTTCCCGACTGCTTGACTAGGGACCGATGGCTGATGATCACGTTTGATTGGATACACTAGCTGACCTTGCGAAGAGCCAGCCGCAATGGCTTTTGTGTTGTGAGTTTCTTCGTCCATACCCTCCCCCTTTAGACTCCCAGTTCCGGTTTCATACCAAATGCACAATATAATATTTGACATAATATTACTTGCTTTTCCTTTTTTAGTGTGATTTTTAGTATCTTATATTTTTCTATTGCGGTACATTAGCTGAGGTGTGTTTCTCACCCTTGACGTTAGCCCATTCGGGTACCGAAGTGCGGTAAATCTAATTGCCACAACCCACCTCATCAAAATCACAATAAATAACAACTGTAAGAAAACGAAGTTGAACGCAAATAGAGTTCCACAATACTGTAATCAAGTAAAAACTTCACGAAACCAATCGGGATAAATTGAACATTAACATCTCGATACAAGAGACCAACTGCAGGGACACGCGTTATGTTTGCCAGTGTCTTCAACCATTGATGTAAACCTGACATGTAAAATAAGCGGCCCGCACAAAGAATACTGTAAAATGAGACATTTAGCGGCCAAAATTGCAGTTTTTCTAACTTAACGGATACAATTGCCTTGTTCACAGAAACCTAGTATGTTTTTCTTTATTCAGCATGTTCCTTAAACCTTGAAATAGTCAATCACCTTATGATGTATTTCACAAGCACAATGCTAAGATGAATGCGAGTTAAAACTTCTAAAAACTGGCAGTCCACACCGATGCAGTAATCATGTTCTGATCATGTCTACTTCTCTGGAATTTGATTGGTTGCAGCAGTTGGCTTGTCTTGATCATACCTATCCCTCCGATGGCGCACCCACCGCTCGATGTTTGCTGATTATGTATGCGACCTAATGTGATTGGCTGACTGTGCGTGAGCGGATATCAACTTCGTTACCACGTGCAACTTTTGTTGTTATTTATGATAATTGCGTGAAATGCTTTTCTTACAATATAACCGACATTGTTCGGATTTCACACTACGTCACTTTTCACTGCTGTAATGTTTGTACAATGCCTTCCTTGCTGAAAAGTCGTTTTCTCCGAGCTGAGCGTTTCACTTGCAGACGTTTCGTCGCCAAGCTAGGCAACGTCATAAGTGCGACTTTCAATGTCTGAATCGCAGAACCTCGTGAGCCAATTGCAGACCCGAGTGGCTATTGATCGTCCCCTGCTTTGAATACCAGCTATCGATTGACTCAAGTGCGTCGGCAAGTGAAGGTTTCTTCGCGCTGTCGATCTGACGCCTACTGCTTACTTGATCTGCAGAGATTCATTTACGCCGTCTGGCTCCAGCTGCCTGATGCTTGAGCTCGAATGCCATACCTCGACGAACTCACGCGCCCTTCGACTCCTTGCTCTTCCAAATATCTTGGCGTTTTCCAGATCGAATCGGTAGTCCTCGGTATCCCTGTGTATTGACATTAACGATTTCACATCCTGAATTCGGTTAGCC